TGTTTGGCAACCATCAGAATGCTCTCTGTGTCTATGATGCTTGTTCATTTTGTTCTTTAGATTTAATTGTTGATATATATGTATTTATCGTAATTTTATTGTTCATATTTTTCGTCTTATTTTTCTTTAAGAAGACACTTTAACATTTCATTTAATGCTGGTTTGGTTGTGTCTTGGTATTTTTTTTTTAGATAGAAGCAAAGTCAATAAGGGCTTCATTCTTTTTTTTTAAGATTTTATTTATTTGTTTTTAGAGAGGGAAGGGAGGGAGAAAGAGAGAGAGAGAGAGAGAAACATCAATGTGTGGCTGCTGGGGACCGTGGCCTGCAACCCAGGCATGTGCCCTGACTGGGAATCGAACCTGCAATGCTTTGGTTCGCAGCCCGCGCTCAATCCACTGAGCTACACCAGCCAGGGCAGGGCTTCACTCTTAATAGACTGCAAGACAATGTCCAAAAACAGGAACTCAGACCATGAGAAAGGCATGTCCAGTCCAGACTGAATGAAACTGTTATTTGAAAGAATGCCAGGAAAATAGTTGAAATAACATAACATTTGATCATTTATTATATTTGACAATTGCTCTAGTGAATTATTCCTTCAGTGCCACCCAGTAACATCAAATTGGTCATTTCAGTTCTAGATGTGTCTACCTTGTGTTTCATTTCCTGTCGCAGGATGGTAAGTGACAGTAATGCAGTTGCTTATTCATATAATCGATAAAATATTTCAAAATATGGAGACTATAGAATTACACAGATTATAAAATTTTTCAGCTGAGAAATTTTAATGTTTTTTTTTGCTCAATGCTTTTTTTTTAGAAAAAAATTCTGTATCTCAGTGTTTGGAGGTCTATAAACAGATTTTAAACAATAGAATGCATAATAATTTCAAACTTTGTCTACTCTCTTTCATTCCTTTTTATAAACTGTCCAGTTCCTTCTCTAATCTCAGCTCTGTCTAGTCTTACAGCGATGCTCTGATTCTTGTAATGCCATTAAATACACCAATAGTACACCGATAGATAACCACAAGTACACCGATAATTGGTAAGTATTTCTCCTAGAGCTATAGGGGATTAGCTTCCAGTGGCCACAGATGATACTTCCACCAAATGATTCTCACTGAAGAGTGTGAAGAGGCATCACTCCAGCTTCCGATGCCACTCTGTCCCTTTCCACTGCTTGTCTGCTAAGCCAATGCCATGCAGTCGTGGAATTTCAAGACACCACATCTGTGTTAGGGAGGGTAGGCTAGGCTACACTGTGGTGATAAATACCCCACAGACTATCAGTTACTACGCCTGCCTGCGTCTCCTGTCCAGTCTGGAGCCAGGAGAGCACGCGGTGGCTCACACTGTGGAGCAGAACGGACCCAGGAGAACTGCGGGGAAGGCTGAGGACACGACAGGACACTTGCCCAATTCGGAATCAGAAACAGAAGGTCCAGTGTTGGACACAGGAGTGTGTAAGGTACAAACACAGCCCTGGCTCTGTACTTGGGTGGGGGGGATGAGCTGTGCGTGAAAGGCAGGGTCCCTCCTAGAACTCTCTTTTTGTACCCCCACCCCCATAATGAGCGTCCCCATCTGGGTGAGGAGCAAGGTGGGGGACATTCATGCTGAATGGAGGGGCTGGCCCCTGGAGTCCTGTGGAGGTGCAGATGGGGTGAGAAGGTCACGAAGCTGGCGGCTGGGTGAGATCAGGGCACATCCCCAAGGGGCATGCAGTCTCCCAGGAGGAAAGTACTAGTTCCTGGGGAAAACCCTCATTGAACAGAGTATTACTTTATCTTGGTGTCTTCACTTTCATTTCCTTTGCTATGAAGTCTTTTCAGTAGATTGAAACTTTTTTCCCCAGAGTCTTGGTGATGATTTGTACACACTCTAAGGTCCCCACTGGTTCTCCCATTGCCTGCCCCTCCTCCTCCGAAGACTGCAACACAGAGTTAAAGAGGGTGTGTTTCTCCACCAAGGGTCTCCTCCTTCTGACTGCAGTCTGTTTCCGAATGTAAAGCAGGGATGGATGCTAAACACCTCCCTCCCTCCCTGAAAGGTGTGAGAAGACCACCCCTTTGCTAGCGATGATGGGATTCGGGAATGGAGTGGTTGCTGAGGAAAGGCGTAGGGGCTCTGGCCAAGGGTCCAAGGCAGCATTGCCCTGGGATACCCCCAGGATCTTAGGGGGCAGAGTGGGGAAGCGGGGTCCCTCTGCATCACAGGCTGGATGTAGCTTAGGGAGGTTTTTCTGGTCTCCTGGATCTCACTTTCCTCTCCACTCAGCCTGTGGCTCCCTTCATCTCCTCCTTCATACAAGAGTTCAGAAGTGGGCGGAACAGGACAAAGCCTCCAATTTGATATTCTTTCTCTCTTTCTTCACTCTCTCTCAGACACCAAGTACTTCTGAAACTAAGAAAAGGTATTGTTAATTTGAAATAAACTGTTTTGCCTTTCCCACATGATGAAAATCAAGCAAACAGGAAATCAAGTAAACACCCAAACAGAACATTGGAGGGATACTTTGCTAAGAATTGATATCATAACCACAAACCACTCACCCCAAAATTTTCTTCAAAAGACTGGTTTGATGGGAGAAATCCCAGCCCTTCAGCTCCAACTGTGACAAATCTCTAAGGAGATGGATGCCTCGCAGACTAACAGTCTGAGAGACCTTAATGCCTGCTCCTCTCACTTCTCATCTTGTCCAGAGCCAGCATCAGGAGCAGCTGGGAGGATAAATGTGTCAAACCAGGTTCTCCGTCACCTTGTGGGCTGTGTTAGACAGGACAGCGTTGACCATTCAGTGTTCTTGCTGGAAAAGTTTGTCCTGAACTTAACCTTGAGGCAATTGTGTGACAACTGCAGAATTGAGGCCATTGAAAAGGATAACTGGTCTCTCCTTCTTCAAACATTCAATGTCACCACAAATAAGATGGCAAAAGGAGGAGAGTTTAGGTTCCAAAGGACTACGCAGATTGTGTCACCATATTTCTTTAGTCCTTTGGAAACAAAAACATCTCCTCACTGTTTTGTGGCTGTCTTTCTTGCTGGTGATGCTGACTCGCTGTAGAGGACAGGTCTGTGGTCGGGCTCACCGGTCTGCATTCTGAAGTTGCCTGATCATTTCCTCATGATGAAATTCAGGCCAGCCCTTTGGCCAGGAACACTGCCTAGTGCATGCTGTGTGCCCCCTAGTGCAGCCCACATGGAGGCCAAGGGTGTCTGGCTTTCCCGGCACCACTGCTGTGAAGCTCAGGCCAGGCTCTGGGTTTGGCTCTCGGTGGATGTATATCCAATCCCTCAGTTGCCAGCCTACATCCTTGCTGTTTCTCTGGACCAGCAGAGAAGAAGATTGGACAGAACCTTCTAGGTTTCTTTTCCTCATTCGTATGGGCCAGCAAGAGATCCACCCCAGTTGACTCTGCTCCGGTGGCCCCAGGGCTGTGTCTTATCCCTGCGCTGGTTGCACCCAGCTCCTGGGGCTGCACCCTCACCCCCACAGGCTCCTCCCTGTCATTCCTGTGTTTTTCATCCCCTTTACTTCTGGCACCTAGGGAGTTCCCACCCTTTTTCTTTCAGCACATCTATGTTTCGATTATGTCATTTCAGCATTCTTGTAGTTTATTGCAAGAAAGGGAAGAGCTGTTTCTTCCCTGGAAAGGGAGCACTAAATTCCCTTCTCACCATTTCTTCACACCCCCAGTAATAGTGAATTCTATCACTTTTTAGCTGTCAGACATGCCCACTGCACAGAACCACTGACAAATAGATACACCCATCCCATAGAAACAATAACAGACAGATACACTCGTCCCATAGAACCAATGACAGACAGACAGATACACCCATGCCATAGAACCGATGATATACAAAACCACACAAAGAAGTACTGGGAGACAGATACACCTCTCCCAATACAACCAATGATACACACACACACACACACACACACACACACACACACACACACTGAGAACCAGGTTAGCAAGCACTTTTCAATGACTAATGATGCTTAATGTCTCTGGAATGGATGCTGAAGGAAAGCCAGACACTACAAAACCATGTGAGTCCTTGTAGGGCTCCTGACTGTTTTCATCGTGGTCCCTTGTATAGAAGTTCTTAAGGCAGTTTGATTTTTTCTGGGTTTGCCCCTGTTTGGGGTGGCCTTCGTTTTCCTCTCTCCATCGCCTTGAGCCAGACCATATTGTTTAGAGAGACTTCTGCATTCTGAGTGATCACAATTCCTGAAATATGGTCCACGCCTTGGGTCTTGATGTTTAAATTTTGTCACATATCTTCCAACAGTTTCTCTAATTCTGTTTGAGTAATGCTTTGCCTTTACTACACTCCTAAGCTGTATGTGTAGCTTACAATGGAGTGTTCTTTGCTGACAGTGACAGAGCATAATCTTTCAGAGATTTTCAGCCAGAGCTCACGTTGTTGAGAACGAGAAGGAGATGCGGGCGCTAGAATGCCGGCCAGCAGCATGCCGGCCTTCTGTTCAGCTTCTCCTTCGGGGTGTATTTCCGTTGGGGTTGCTGGACCTGTCCTAGTGGGCCCTGTGGAGGGCTGGTGCATTAGGTTGCCTCTAGTTTTGATCAGTAAAACAACTTGACATTTTTGTTTCAGAAAAGCCTGTGTCTCCCAAATCTGGAACATTGAAGAGCCCTCCCAAAGGATTCGATATGCCCACCATTAACAAAAGTTATTATAATGTGGTGAGTGATTGCACACCTTGTTTTTTTGAATGTCTCTGAAACTCAGAAGTGTAGACTATAGGTAAACTGCTGAAATGATAAGGAAATAAAAATAAAAACCACACATGTAACCACCATTAATGGCTTGGTACATTTCCTTCCAATCTCTCTATATTTTATAATCTTATATTTTAAAAATATTTGATATATGCAATTGTACCTTGTTCTTGTCACATAACTTGGTATTGTCAATTTATCCCCATACCAAGTCTTCAAAAATGAGATTTAAAAAGGTATATAATGGAAGGACGTTGGTGTTGAGGAGAATACAACGACCATGTCTTCCAGTGCTTTGACAAAACCTCAGATGCGCGGCCTCCTGGCCAAGCGTCTGCGATTTCATCTTGTGGGAGCCATCCTTGTATCCCTGGGGGTTGCAGCTTCCTACAAGTTTGGTGTGGCTGAAAGAAGAAAGAAGGCATATGCAGATTTCTACAGAAATTATGATTCCAAGAAAGATTTTGAGGAGATGAGGAAGGCCGGTATCTTTCAGAGTGCAAAGTGATCTTGGAATGTAAAGAATTTCTCTGGGGGTGAATTCCATGGAAGGCTGTCACTGACCTGTGTTCCTCCTGAACTATGAAGCATGAATATTTGAGCTAAGAAAAAGTTTCTCTTGTTAAATAAACAATTAAGAATTACTGTGAAAAAAAGGTATATAATGTGTTTTAAAGATTTTATGTGTGTTTAATGATATGTTTATATTTGGAGTAGACTGTAAGTACCTTAGATCAATATAGTTTCTTTATATCTTAACATAGTCTTTCCTGGGATTGGTGTGTGTGTACATTTATATACATATATGTGTATATAAAAATATCAAATAGCATGAAATTAGAGGAGAGTGTGTAAGCGTTATACATAGTAAAGTCAAGTATTTCAGAATCCTGAAACTTAACTGCATTTGGAAATTTACCATGAGCAATTTGGGAGCTTAAAATATATCTGTGTTGTTAAATCTGATATCTAATCCAAATCTTCTTTGTCCCTACACAATTGCATATTGTACAAAAAGTAGAAAATGGTATTCTTTATTTCAATAAAATTTTACGTTGCTATTATGTATCTTTTGGTATATGTCAGCAAAGTACACTTTTTAAATATGTTTATGTTTTGAATTGTGTGCAAAATGTGCATTTATTCAGTTTTTCCCCCCTGCCTCCTATTTCTTATTTCCTTGAATAGGGAATATATACAGTAAATCTGAGACCACGAGACCTCTGTATTTCTGAAGTGAAATAACAGCTGACTGGTGTTTCTTCACAGCAGACCTTATCGTGGGTTTCATTTTCTGTACTTGTATTAAGAAATGCTGAAAAATTGCCCCGACTGGTGTGGCTCAGTGGGTTGGGCATCACTCTGTGGACTGAAAGGTCACCGGTTTGATTCCCATTCAGGGTACATGCCTAGGTTAAAGGCCAGTTCCCAGGTTGGGGGTGTTCCAGGGGGAAACGATCAACGTTTCTCTCCCTCTCTTTCTCCCTTCCTTCCCCCCTCTCTAAATAAACAAAGTATAAAGACATTTTTTAAAAAAAGAATGGTGAAAAACTGTGACAGAGCTGAACAAGGCGGTTCTGCCACGCTGACCTGTTGCCGCAGCCTTCGCCGTGAGTCTGCACATTCAGCTTCCTTCTACGCAGGTACCTTCCACTTGCCCCCAACTCTTACAGAACAAGTCGGCCTCAGGGAAAAGTTGCTCACTTCACTGGTGACTGTCAGGTGCCCACTCTGTGCCAGGCCCTGCCGAGGTCTTAGGCACAGAGCAGGGTTGGAAGTGGCAGGATGTCTCTTTTGTCAGCATACGTGCTAGTGCATGGGCGCGATTCAGTGTTTCCTGTCACCTCTGGTACCCATTTCACTGCCTCCTCTTGTTATAATTCCCTTCACCACATCCGGCTCATGGGGTTCTGTGTGTGATACTTCCGAGCGCACACCAGGACTTGTCCTTGACTTCTTGTCCTTGAACCGATCAAGTCCAGATCTTCTTTTCCTGAGACATCCTGCATTGAAGTCTGTCCTTCGATTTCCATGGTTTCTCCCTTCTTTTCACCAATCTTCACCTCCGCGACTTGCAGAGCTTGGGTCCTCACACGTCCTGTGCTCCGACCCCTGGGGGCCGTCTTCCTGGCCCAGTTCTGCTCGGCTCTCCGCATCCTCTTCGGTCCTGTGCCTGCTGCATGTGTTCGTTCCCGTGATGTGATTCCACCAACTTACTTGCTTTTCAGTGAGTAATGTGTTGTATGTGTAGTTTCGTGCATGTAGCCAGAAAAGACGGTGAAAGTCTCTTCATGGGTTTTCAAGGTTTCTTACTAAGAAAACATAACTGTCAATGGGTGCAGCTTCCTTTTCCTCTTTCATTCTGTGAGATGTTGGCTTTTATTTTTGGGGAGAGTGTCAGGAGGTGAACAATGCAATCATAATCCACAGTGATGTTCCAAAGAGGGAGCTACTTATTTTCTATTAAGGTCAAAGTAGTCTCTTTGTTTCTGTGATTTCACTTTCTGCTGGGCCAGGCAGGGCAAGGTCTGGCGGATGGGGGCCTGGGTGGCCCGGAACAGACACCTGGCATGGAGGGCCAGCAAGGGCCAAACACCTGCTACCCACAGCTGGAGGTCCAGTGCCAGGAAGTCATGAGAGGATTGGCCAGTTGTTCAGGCCCCGCCCCTTGCCCTTTGCTCCCCCGCCCCCCCCGCGGCCCCCGTGCTGGTGCTGGTCCGTTGATGTTTCCATGGAGACATCAGAACTCCTGGCTACAGTTAGTTCAGTGCGTGCTAGAGACCCAGAGGAGTAGGAAGCAAAGGAGACGCTCTCCCAGTTTCTACTCTCTTCTTGGCTCGTTTAGCGCACAACCAGCTCTAGATGGGCAATTTTATTTCTAAGTTTCATCGACGATTTTGCCGCTGGCGCCGTCACCGTCCCTTGCCCAGTGGCCGTCATCCAGTGGTTTTCCCGGTCCATTGCGATGATGCCCCGCCTGGCCGGGACCACCCCGCTGCTCCTGCGCCTGTGGTGCGCCCTGGCCACAGGCTGTCCCACAGGAATCGGGCACCTGTAGCTTCAGGGTTTTACATCGCGCCGAGAAGGCCGTGTCCCCCTTCCGCAGACGGCATGCTTCCCTGTGGGGATCCTTCCCTCGGTGAACTGGAAGGACCCTCCGAAGAAGCCCGTGTTGTCTGCTAGAAATTCTAGGATGTTTGGACCCTCAAGAACGGTCTATATCCCTCCTGCAAGGCGCAGGTTTTCTCTCCTGCCTCCACCACCGGAGCAGGGAGTCGTGGCTGAGAAGCCAGGACCCTCCAGTACCTCCTCATGTCCTTGTCCAAAGGAGGTGGAGGTGAAAGTCCAAGTGGAGTCCCCAGAATGGATGGAAAAGAACAGAAACAATCTGGTTCGGCACAATAAACACAACAACCAGACCAGCCCCGATGAAAGTGGGGATCTACCACTCACACCTAGGTCCCTAAAGACCAAGGGAGCCCTCACACCTTGCAAGCAATGCAAAGAGGAAGTGCCAGGTGAAGACCGACCCCCCAGCATGCCAGCTTCTCTGACGCTGGGTAAGGAGGTGGATAGTGAAGAGCCGTGGAGGCCCTCTGCCAGCAGGAAGCCTCGCAAACGGAAACGTCCTGGGCCACTCCTGCGGCCGCTGCCTCCACTGCTCTGGGATCCAGGTGAGCTGCCCCCCCACCTCCTAAGTTGCCTCGCCTTGCTAGTGACAAAAACCTGGGTACCTTGTGGAGCACCTTGCAAAGCAAAAAGACCTTGGAGGACAAAACAGTGGGCATAGCTGACAGCAGTGCCACTCAGCCTGCCCCTTCCGTCTCTGCTCCTGGCTCGGCAATGGCAGACACCCTGCCCCTGGCCACTGAGACTGGGCCGGGCTCTGCTACCATCTCAGCCAGGGTGGCTGCAGACCTGAGCTCTCAGCTAGTGTTCCATGGTGATGAGGACATTAAAATGGACACGACTTCCCCTCACTTTGGGGCCACAACCATACCTTCCGACGACGACGACATCGAAATGGACACTACACCCCCCTTGCTATGCCGCCACAATCCTCTCTTCTCCAAACTGTGATGCAAGATTCATGCCAGTTTACCAGATCCAGTACAGCGTGGAGCACAGGCGCCCTGCAGGCGCTCTGCCAGCCCGCCCCCATTGAAGGGCTACTGCCCTGCCTCAGGCCACCCCCTTGGTCCCTATCCACACCACAGCCTACCGAAGGGGGCCCCTGAAGGTCAGAGAAGGGAACTTCCCTCCCCAATGCCCCTGTCAGCACCAGACAACCACTCATGGCATCAGAGTTGCCACCAAGACGTTGAGCACTGCGCACAGGGGCTCACTGTTGTTAAGAAGTCTGCAGGTCCACTTGTGGTTCTGGGCCCCACAGCTCCCATGGTGGTGGGAGCTGTGCGGTCAGTGTGTCTGGCCCAGGGCCCACTCATCCACAGGCGTCCAGAGTGTCCATTCTAGAGATGGACTGAGGAGGGCACAGCACTGCTTTCAGATCTCCTTGTGGCCCTGTGGTTGGGGTCCACCTGGCCCAGCACAGCTGCTGCAGGAGGAGGAGCATGCCCCACCCAGTGCTGGGTACACTGCCCGTTCCACCTTACATCCGACCACCTGGAGCCCACCTGTCCTAACCCAAGTTATGTGATGACGGAGAGTAGACACCGTTCCCACGATTGGAGGCACCAGTGCCCATGCTCATGGTCAGTGCACCTGCGGCTGCCTGGACAGGGAGAGTCTCGTGCACTTCCAGCCACTACCTCCATGGAGAATGAAGGTATGTCATTCCCATTTTCACCACGTGAGGCTGTCTCCAATGACTTTCTTCTTTGCTTTTAAATAGTTTACGTGATGACATTCCCTGGTGTGACCTCATGATTCTTATTTGGTATCTAGGGTGTAGTTTGTTATCTTCGAGGAAGTCCCCTTTCTCATGCCTCTGATGGCCACATCTGAAAAGTGTCTACTGAAGTGTATCCTCTTTCCGTTTGGCTGGTATTCTGAATTCTCTGCTCATTTTCATTAAAAATAGCACAAATTATTTTATGTTTTCCATTTGAATAGACTGAAATTTGAATCCAAGTAATTCACTTCTAATAGCCTAATACTATTTAAGTGATTTTTAAATTTTGGCTTTTGATGTCTTTGTTAACATATGCAAAGCAAATCCACAGTTATTTAAAGAGCTGTGATTGATAGTGTGTGCAATCCTGGAGTATATTCCAGTCAGTTAGACATGGTGCTTGAAGCATTACTGCAGCCTTACCTCAATACTACACTTCTGTTGGCCTTTTAATACTTTTACATGTAAATATATAGAAATGCAAACATTTTCTTACCTCAAAATCTGAACAGAAAAATAATTAATTAAGATTAAAAGCAGTATATGTTTTTCCTAACAATATATTCTATTCAAAAAATCAACTCTAAGTCAACTGTTAATCAAATCTTATTAAATTATAGTAATTGATGGTGAGTTAAAAAGAAATCATATTGGAACTTATATTAAATTTTGCATTGAATTTTCAGTGGCTCTCTGCTGAATACCTTATAACACATTAAATTTTTTTGTCCATTTTTCTAGTATTGGAAGGAAAGACTCTATAGGAATAATGCAAAAATAGATGGGATGA